TTAACTTATTAGCCATATTATATTAAGATATTGGTGATAAAGAAAAAGCATTAAATGACTATAATCAAGCAATCCAACTTGATCCAAATAATGCAATTACCTATTTTAAAAGAGGTAAATACTATTACACTTTATATTTTAGGCTTATTATATGTTGATATTGGTGATAAAGAAAAAGCATTAAGTGACTATAACCAAGCCATCATACTTAATCCTAAATATGTAGATATCTATTATGAAAGAGGTGAATACTATTACACTTAATACTTTAGGCTTAATAAATGCTGTTATTGGTGACAAAGAAAAAGCATTAAGTGACTATAATCAAGTAATTCAACTTGATCCAAATAATGCACTTACCTATTTTAAAAGAGGTGAATACTATTACACTTAATTTTTTAGCCTTATTATTTGTTGATATTGGCGACAAAGATAAAGCATTAAGTGACTATAATCAAGCAATCATACTTAATCCAAATTTTGCTAGAGCCTTTAATAACAGAGGTGATGACTATTACTGCTTATATATTAGGCATTTTATATAAAGATTTTGGTGATAAAGATAAAGCATTAAATGACTATAATCAAGCAATCCTACTTAAACCAAATTATGCTATAGCCTATAATAACAGAGGTGATTACTATTAAACTTAATCTATTAGGCATTTTATATAAAGATATTGGTGACTTAGATAAATCATTAAACGACTTAAATCAAGCAATCCTACTTGAACCAAATTATGCTAGAGCCTATTATAACAGAGGTGATTACTATTACACTTAATATATTAGGCATTTTATATAAAGATATTGGTGACAAAGATAAAGCATTAAATGACTTTAATCAAGTAATTTAACTTGATCCAAATAATACATAAGCCTATTATAAACAAGGTTTTATCTCCTTATTATAGTTTAAGGTGTTATCTTATACAATTTGAAATAGTATGAATAAGCAACAATCTTCTTTGATAAAACGATTTAACGTGACCCAAATAATGGCAATGCTTATTTTAAAAAAGGTTTTATGGTAAATATCTTTTAGCAATTTCATTACAATAATTGAATTAAATCGTTTTAGCCATATAATATTATAAAATAGCATTAACATTAAACCATCCTTTTTCATTATAGATTATTTAAACAATCAAGAAACTTCAATCATTTTAATGAAAATAAACCGTAAAGCCATAAGATACAATATTAAATTATTTTTACACAATAAAATTACAAAATTAAAATTATTACACTGTTATTTACTCTTGTATCTATCTATGCTAAATATCCTTTTTGATAAAGTTTTTGAAGATCTACTAATCAATTCAGGGATTCAAATTCTTTGAAAGCATTAATGAAATAAAACCCATCTTCTAAATTCTCATTTTAAGATTTAATTATTCCTATTAAATATTGGAAAAAATTCCTTCTTAATTCAATTATTATAATTCTTTAATCAAATCAAATTTACAATTTAACATAAGGTATTAGAGATAACTAAATACTTTAGTTAAATTTTTTGATTATATATAGAAATTAGCAATATAAAATCACTGGAGTTAGCTTTGCTTCAAGCTTACTTAATGTATTTTAATGTAAAAATTCATATTTTTTTCTTTATATTATTGTCTTGTGCGATATGCCAACTATTTCGATTGCTTTATCGTTTGATATAAGCATTTATAGTTCCTTTATTTATTAAATGCTTAATTCTGGGAAAATTATAATTTAATTAGTTAATATTTGGTTCTTTACCAATTTACTTAACACATGTCTTCCTCCAATCTATCCTTTCTTTTCATTTAGAAGAAATTTGATAATTCCCCTTTTTTTTTATTAGGATTGACATTTTAATCGATTTGATAATTTTTAATGTTTACTTTTAATCATTATTTTTCATATAATAGCTATTTCTACGAATTTATATTTTAT